TTTTCTATTTCTCTATTTTATTTATCTCCAGTAAAAATGATAGTTCACCAGAATCATCAAATTTCACTACAAAATAAACAAAGTTGGGAGACAACAAGGTCCTTTATTGAAAAGGAAAAATCCGAAACTTTTGTTCGGATATATAGTCCCGAGGACGATTCCTCCTCAACTAGAATAATACAAACCCAATTTGAATTTTTTTCTCCTTCAGACTCTTTAATCAACGAAAATAAACAAGCACCAACGATACTATTAGAGACGATGTCAGATAATCCTCGAGAACAACAACCACAACGATCTCTGCAGAAAGCAATATCTGACAATGGCATAAACGAACTTTTTAGTAAAGACGCAACAATAGAGACGAAAGTCACTACTGTATCCGACGAATTAAAAGTAAATGACAATGATTCGACCTTGTTAGCACCACCACTTAGTACTCCACAATTGAGTAGCGGTGAAATTTCCAAAGTAACAACTTCTAATTCAAGTGATATTTCACTACCATCGCAAACAAATAATAATAATCACGGATCAAAACCTCTTCCGCAGTTTATATTCAAAGCTCATCCTTCGAAATCAAAAAGAGTAAGCTGGATCCATGATTTGAAAAGAATATTTCAACGGCCAAGCGTTATTCAGCGTCGTCGGCCAATGCGAACTGATCCATTTAGTCAAGATATTCAAGCGTTTAATTTCAAATTCGGTGGTCTCAGCAAAGAACTTGGATCGGGAGCAGGTGGTTCTGTTCATTTAGTTCGTCGACCAGGTGACTCCAAATATTTCGCAGCAAAACAATTTCGTCAACGAGGGACACACGAAAGCGAACGTGGTTACGTTAAAAGGATCACTACAGAATTTTGCATCGGCTCATCACTTCATCACGAAAACATTATCGAAACATTGAACATTGTACGTGAAAATGGACATTATTATGAAATAATGGAATTTGCTCCGTACGATCTCTTCGATTTGGTCATGTCAGGTAATCAAACGGAAGCAGAAATCTCATGCTTGTTTAAACAACTCATCAACGGTGTTGCATATTTACATGGAATGGGAATCGCACATCGGGATTTGAAATTGGATAATTGTGTGGTGAACGAACACGGAATCCTAAAAATTATCGATTTTGGATGTTCGAGTGTATTCAGATATCCATTCTCGGACAAGATTATAATGAGTTCAGGCGCATATGGCTCGGATCCATACATCGCTCCTGAATGTCATTTAGAAGGCAAATATGATTCACGATTTGCTGATATATGGGCGCTTGGTATTATCTTTGTGTGCATGTCAATTGGTCGATTTCCTTGGATGCTAGCAGATCCGGAAACCGAGACACCATACCGAATCTACCTAAAAAACCCTGATAAACTACTCAAACGCCTTCCTGAAGAGTCACGACAACTAATTCGATGGATATTAGATCCGGATGTCACGAGACGAGCGAAAATCACGGATATTTTATCGCACGAATGGATCACTTCCATTGAAATATGTCATGAATGCGAATCTGCCAAGGGTCATGAACATGTTTTACCATTGAATATGAATAAAATGAACGGAATTGATGACGAACACATCATCCCTAATAATAGTAGTAATATTTCGTCTTCTACCGCTGTTTCGTCAAGTAGTGGTGTTGCATATGTGACAGAGAAGGTGCAAAAGGTTTAAAAAGAGATTTTCTTTTACTTCTTTTAAATAGAAAT